AAAGATGACTTGTTTCAGTCAAGATTAAATTATCTTTTAAAACGATATCACTGCCTAAGCTATATTAAACATATTAACCATATGAGATACACTCTATAAAGTAGTATTACATCAAGACAAGACTTTAAGACTACTTTAATTTAGTTAATTTGCCTCCAACTGAGAACCCTGCAAAATTCCATTTACTCAGGACATACTTTCAGGTAACTGTAAAGCTATATCTATTATAGGATTGGTAACAAGTTAGATCCTTTACAATATGGATGGAAGAAAGATCAAAAAGGGAATCTGACACCTATTCAATCAACAGAAGATGTGGCGCCTCCTGCCCTACTATAATTAATTGTTTGTCATTGCAAAGAGAGTTGATTGCTTTTGTAGAAAACTAGGTTTTAAATGTTCTTCAAAGTGTGGCCGGTGCTACGGAATCAGTTGCACAGACTTTTGTATTTTAGTTGAGGACGAAAATGACGCTCAGGATGACCTCATAGCAGATTTAATTTAATAACTTTAACTTAATAATAATTTTTTTAACAATAACTTTATTTAATAAATAATATTTAAATGTTAGTTTTAATTGTTTTAATGATTAAATTTATACTTGGTTTATCTATATTAACATTTTACTGTTAACGCAAAAATTATAGCTGATTGGTTTAAAAAAACTGGAAAATTTATAAAACATATAGTAAAAAATCGCTCTATCTCTATTACTATTTTTTTTTAGAAAAAAAAAATGATTGAATTTAAAATATTCTAAACTTAATTCACTACAAAAAACATATATTTAGTTTTTTCGAAAAAAGTTATGCAAACGGAGATATTTGAAAAAAACAAAAAAAAATCCAAGATGGCGGCGGTTTTTTTCAAACTTCCACTGGGACCGAATGGGACTTTTGAGGGGTTAAATAGGATATATCTACACATTCCCGTTGAGATCGGTTGGTTACTAATTTTTTCCACCTCAACCTCCAGATTGACTGGCCTACTGTACTATACCATACCATTACCCTTTGCAAAAGTACAAAAATTTTATTATAAAGTAAGGGACAACATGGTAATGTAATGAGTCATTTTCACTCTCAGTTAATTTGCGAAAACTGGTTTGCTCAAACCAAACTGCACTAATAAAATATTGTAATAAATAACTAATAAAGTGTAAACAGAAATCATTATATCGGTCGACATTGATTTTGAAAATAAAATTTTCAAAATCTTTTATTTAAGGCAATAAAATCTACGGGTAATTCAAAATATATCAAATTTACGATTGTACTATTAAATATAGAAACGTCAAAAAAGAAGCAGCAAGTAAAAATATAATAAGGAAATAATCTAATATAGAACAGTATTTCTCTAAATTATTATATTTGTATTATTTATCTAATTCTTCATCTGAGTTACTGTCTTCTATAGCTGAATCATAAACGATTATTTCTTCGACTTGATTTTCTTTGTCCGTTTCCGTGTCCACTGATAATGACAATGATTCTAGTCTGGTCTATAGCAACTTTCTAAAAGAAGACTAACATATATGTTTTAGTCTTTTTATGTGATGTTTATGTTAGTCTCCGTTCTGTTACGATGGGTTTTGTGATGCTGAATTCACATTCTTGTTTATCGGAAAACAGGGCTACTTAATAATTGATCTTTGTTGATATTGAGAGATGAAAATAATCTGAGGACATTTAATCATCGCTCCTGGCTCCTTCTTAAAATGCGCCCCTTTTACAATCCCAAAACGAAAACAACGTGTCACGCGTTTTGGCCTTAGCTCGGCTCTTTTTTAATTTAAAAAAAAAATAGAAAAAAAAAACTTAAAAAAAGTACGAAGAAAAAAAAATTATTGAGTTAACGATTAAAAAAAAAATATTTATGGAATTTGCAGGGGTCTAGTCGCGAACAAATTTATGCCCTAGCTCAGAAAATTCGGAGAGTAGGGGCGGGTTAAGAGCGCCACTGACTTTAGACGGAAAAAAGTCAGAAATCCCCCAAGGTGTATTTAGGGCCTTACAAGTTCCACAAATACATAAATAAACAAAAAAAAAAGTCAAGATCTTAGAGAATTATGTAGACATAGGGCCAAAGGAAATATAAAAAATAATAATGCAAACTGATTAGCTTCAGTACCTCTATTAAAATATAAAAAAATAGTAGGAAACAGTAAATAGAAAATACCAAATAGCAAATAATAAATTAAATAAATCAATAAAAAAATTGTGCACCATGAAAAATAATATATCACCATACGCAAATAGTAAAATTACGTAAATAAATAGGTACCTTCCGTGATCACGTAAGATCAGGGTTCGGAAGTAGTTAATTAAGACGTAATTTACCTGATTAACTACGTGTAGTTTTTCTTCAAAAACTACGGCTTTTCCCGTTCATTAACTACATGAAAACTACATTAATAAACTATGTATTGATATTCTGAATAATTTTCCTTTGTATGAGGTGTAATAGAGATAATATGATGTAAATATTATATTTAAAGCTATATTTCTTCTGTTTTCTGAAATACATTATGTGTTTTTAAAGCTTTAACTTATTATAACCTCACCTCAAACCTTTGATATTTGAAAGTTACATACATAGATTACATCCTCCACATAAACTACATTAACTACATGTAATGTAGTTTATGTAGTTTTTAAAAGTAACATGTAGTTTTCCGAACCCTGCGTAAGATTTACAAAAAAAATCTATATGTATATATCAGCGCAACTAAATTCAGATAATATATGAAATTAATCAACAAAGTAATAAATCAAATAAATAATACTAAACTAATTCACTAATAATAATAATAATTAATAATATAATTATTAAATAAATAAAATAATCAACTAATAATTACGAATTCATCAATTTAAGAAATTCAAATATCGATAAAAAAAATTAAGATTTAAATAGAGATAAAAGGAAACTATATCAGCTGTTTTAAGTTTACACAAAAAATAGATAAAGAGAAAAAAAAAATAAATATTATTTTATCAACAGAATTGAGTATGTGAAAATTTATTCTAATTATATTATAATGTTAAGAAAAAAAATATCTACGGTCAGTATTTGTAGGCACCATCAAAATTTAAATCGTGAAATAGAAAAAAATGAAAAATGAATTGTACGATACCAAATAGTTGAAAATCTTCTAAATTAACATCTGACTTGGGCAGACACCGTCGGCTGTTATCTGTCAACCGTCGACTGTCAACTCCTCCAGAGAAGTAAAATGGATACCAGCAAAAAAAAACTGCTCCAACAAAAAAAACTGGCTCAGAGAAAAGTCTTCAACACAGAAGAAATAAACTTCTTCGGTCCAGACAAAAAAAACTTCTCCGGTCCAGACAAAAAACTTCTTTGACCCAGACGAAAAAACCCTACAAAGAAATAATATTATAGTTTCTCCATAGTACGAAATACCATAAAAAAAGATAGTTTTTTTTAAAGAAGAGAAAAAAAATGGAAAGATTTATATAAAAAAATAGGCTTTACCTGCTAACTCAGGGTTTTCTACGAATCCTCAGGTGGTTAAAATAAGTTCTTTCCCTGGATGGAATGGGGTGCTCGATGAGAAAAAAAAGGCGGGCTGCTTGGTTGATCCACGTCAGCTTTTTGAGGTGAAAATCCCGTCACCGGTAAACTGTAGCACCGTCCAAAAAAACAAAAGGCAAGATAGGGTGCTGCAGTAATTTTTGAGGCACACTCGAAAATCCCCACAAGGGTAAAAATCAAAAAATTGACAAAATTGACCGAGAGGCCTCTGTACCTCACACTAGCTGAACATAAAGTGACCAAACCAAGGTAGTTCCAAGAAAAACGAAAACCTTTTTTGCGACAAAGAAATAGCCAGATAAAAACACGAGCCCTTATAAAATATGGATTGCCAACAATGAGCTAAATAAAAACATGAAGAAAAAGTTATATGTTAAAGGAAAATAAAGTTAATATCAATAATTTATATAATTAATAGAATAAATAAAGTTAACGAGATTAATTAAAGTTATATGGAAATTTGCTTATCAAAACGTTCAAAAATGAATAAATAATAACCATCTAGAGATATTGCGTATGACTCACTTGCCGGATCGATAGGATATTTTAAAGACAATAATTATGCTTAGAAAATTTTACTCAAAAATTAAAATAGATCAACATAAATTTAATGAATTTAACTAAGTGACAATATGCTCATTAATTACTGTTGATTAAATAACATACAAAAATTTATAATCAGTTTATTAAAGTAAATTTTGGGTTGCCTAATAGTTAATGTTAATAAAATATAAAAAAATATTTGACGTTTCAATTCAAATATTTCTAACCTATGTATTTAGTAAATAAACAGACTTAACGGCGGAAAGAATTATTTTATCTATTTCGGCTAAAATAAATATTAAATTGTATTAAATTGAACTAGTTTTGTGCTGCAAAAAAATGTTATTAAGTGTGAAATATGTATAGTTAAAAATAAGAATGGAATAATTACTTTTGTTGACATGTAAGTACTATTTATTTATTCTTGGTTTACTGAATTGAACTGATCGATATTTCAAACTAATAATAATATCAACTAGCGTTAAATTATTGAGAAAAATAAATAAAATAATCTAGTGAAATTTTGGCACGTTACAAACGAGCCAAGATCGGGGTCCCCATGTGCTCAAGAGATCGTGATCTTGAACCGATTCCAAATATGATGCGCGGCGAGGTGATTGGCTCCAATATGTTTAATGAATAAGTTTGTACACGACTGATTCAACATAGCTGCACGACGAGGTGAACTACTCCATTTTGTTTTACCACAATGGGGTTGCTCCAAATCTTTAATAATACGATATTGACTTGTGTTGCTTGTTTAATTTTTTTATTGCAAAAAAATAATTAGCTATACATGTCATATTATACTATTTCTTTCTTTCATATATCATTATATTATTTCTTTCATTTATACTGCATTTCATTATTTTAATAATAATTAATATTTTTACTTGCAGAAGTAACTCATTCCGTACAGCCAAATTATTATCATCAAGATCAGTTCGCAAATCTCGGCGGCATATCTTCACAATCTGCAGTGTCCGGTCAATTGGATTTTGGACTTTACGCTCCTAATTACTACTTCTACAAAGACAATACTTTTGAACACTTACCTTTTTACAAAGAAGTACCATATGCTTTTGAATTTGATACTGGAAATTATAAGAGACAAGAATCCCGTGATAGTAATGGAAATGTACGAGGATTTTATTATTATCGAGACGATGCCGGAATCCACGATTTGACCTACACTGCTAGTAAAAGAGATGGTTTCATAGTTACTGGAGGAAATTTGGCTGTAAGCTTTATTCCCACTATCGGACCATATCCGTCCACTACAGGCAGTGTGTCAAACCCTGTAAAACCTTTTGAGAAGGCTAGCACGCCTCAACCTTCTGGAAGCACTGAAGGCGATGTAGTATTTCTAGCAGGCGTTACAGAACCTAGTACAGATATACAAAAATAAGAAACAGAGTTATTTAAGTATAATATCATATATGTACGTATATAACTCCTATAACTTTTTTATTTTTTTCAGATAAAAAAACGAGATTTGGTATATTAGTATATGACATAAATTAGGATTGATTGACGTATTCAATTATTTTTGGTCACTTCCTGATTCACCGGAAATTACGAAAACTTTTGATTTTTAAATGGCACCGTCGGTATATTTTCACTTTATTCGATTGAAAATGACACTCTGAATAGAATGACATATCATATGTCAACTTTTGACATTTCCGCTTAAAAACAAATCGTATTTTAAATTTCAATCTAAAGTGCCATGGATGTGTTAAAAACACTAATTTTTAATCAAGGAGCCTTGGAAACGTAGATTTGACCGTCTAGTGTTTTTCGTGTCTTGACCTGGCCGATTAAAAGATGCCCAAATCATACTTTTAATCATATCTTAATTTTTAGCCGACCATACCAACAGATATGGTAGGCTATTAAGATCGGCAAAAGTTTTTTTTTAATTTCACTCAAAATAAGTTATTTGGGTCATATGTAAATGACCTAAATACAAAATATTTTTATGGTGTCTGTCTGTCCGTCTGTAACACGATAACTCAAAAACCGCTAAACCGATTTTAACCAAATTTGGCACAAAAATACTGTGGCACCCAAGAATCTGGCCATTAGCCTTTGGTGGGGGTGGGGGTTGGTAAGGGGGTATAGGAGGGGGTTAAAAATTTTAAAAAATCGTAACTCCAAAATTACAGTAGCTAGCGAAACGCGGTTTTCAATTTAAGATTAGGAATAATATTTACAACAAAATTTGTAATAACATCAAAATCAGTCAAAGTCGCAGTTTTTTAGATATTCCGTGTTTTCGTAGTCCGTTTTTGAGAAAATCCGTGTGGAAAACTCCAAACTCCCATCTGGGATATATCCCCAGGTAGCGGATAGGGGAAATAACCGCGGACCAAAATTGGAAAAACTCCTTTACTTTGAAACTAAAAGAACTGCCTACCAACTTTTTATTAACATATTTTAGTATGGCGCCAATTTTTTTCAATTGGAACAAAAGTTTGGTTTGGCTCATTAGCAAATTTGGAAGAAGCATTTTTTTACCAGTTATTTGGTATCACGCACTTGCTATTTCGAGTCAAATTGTCGTTATAAACCGCATGTTACTATGTCAAATAAACCATATGATTTATCATTCTACTCAGAGTGCATAATAATAAAATATTCTATCGAATAAAATAAATAAAAAAAAGCATAAAAAAATAAGCACAATAATAAAATATTCTATCGAATAAAGTAAAAAATGCCGAAGGTGTCATTTAGAAATCAAAAGTTGTAGTCATTTCCGGTGAAACAGGAAGTTTCCAAAAACAATTGAATACGTCAATCAATCCTAATTTATGTTATATACTAACATATCAAATATTGTTTTGTTATCTAAAAAAATAAAAAAGTTATAGGGGTGAGCCACTTTTGAGACGCACCCGGTATATAATAATAAAGTATTTCATAAGTAAGGTAATAAATAATTTTGAGGCCTGTTTTTACCTAAAAATTTGTAACATCGCTGCTATATCTTTAAAAATTAAATACATAGATAGAGAAGTAACTTTGGATAGACAACTGCCATTAGAGAATGCAATCCCGCACCAAAATCTCAATACCGCAAACCCGCGGGATTAAAGCAATCAATCTCGCGGATCAGCAAAGTTGCGGGACTGTAAACAATAAATGCTCTTCTTTTCTCTTTCCGATTTTGGGATGCGGTTTGGACCAGGTTTTAGACGCATCTATTATGATTAAGATGCTATGTGGTTTTCGAAAATATATTTAGCGAATTCTCGTATACAGAGTGTTTTATAATGGTGTACAAATTTGATCAAGAATTTTTTCTACCGAAAATTTATAATTTTTGAAAAATCAAAATTTTAACTATGTACGACTAATCTGTATTGAAATTAGAAAAAACAATTTGGTGTTTTTTTTTAATTTTTTGTTTTAAGGAAAATACGAGTTTTTTCGAAAAATATGCATTTATAGTAATATATTTGGTCCAAAATGGTACAAAAGGCATTGTACATTTTCCATAGGCCCACAATATACTGATATAGCGTGTATCTTAAACTAGCTGAACAGAAATTTGGACCGATGTATACAGAGCGTTCAAAAAATATATTTAATATTAAATAAACTTAAATTTTATCATAATTTAACTACTTATTTTATAAATAAAAATATTATTCTGATGTTGAAGGTTTTTTTTTCCAATTTGTGTTAGTTATCTGCTTTTAAATACACTCTATATCAATAATTTTTTGGCATATGCAGAATGTACAAAGCTTTTTGTACCATTTAGGACCATCGTATGACTAAAAATGCATATTTTTCGAAAAAACGTCGTATTTTCCTTAAAACAAAAAAAAAAATAAAAACCGATCAAATTGTTTTTTCTAATTTCAATACAGATTAGTCGTACTTGGTAAAAATTTCGATTTTTTTAAAACTGTAAATTTGCTGTAAAAAAGATACAGGACCAAATTTTCACACTCTTATAAAACACCCTGTATACGAGAATTCGCTAAATAGATTTTCGAAAATCACATAGTATCTTAATCACAATAGATGCATCTAAAACCTGGTCCAAACCGCATCCCAGAATCTTTTTTAGTTCAAGAGATATTCAACTTTAAATTTACCCTAAAAATTTTGCTTGTCCCGATAATTATGTCCGGCAGTTTATTTGACGAAATTGTCCACAAGTACTAGTTAAACGCTTTTCTTGACTTACGCACGCCAGAAAGAAATCTAATAACTAACCTGTTTGTTTCACTTATTTTTAATGGCCAAGCCGCAAGGGGAAGCCCCTGGTGGCGATCCCGGAGATCCCGCACGGTAAATCCCGCAAATTTGATCCCGCGGAATCATAGAAGGATCCCGCATTTGCGGGATTGCATTCTCTAACTGCCATGCATTAAAATGGAGCGATGCAATATTGCGAGTGGATGTTGAGTGAGTTATATGTCATATACAGGGTTGCAGCGAGTCAGCAGCAGTGAACAACCCTGTATATATGTCATATAACAGGGTTCGGCAAGAATATGCGGCTCCTAGAATAAAAAAATTGTTAATTTTATTTACATACCAATCTATTATACTAGTATGTATTTCATGAAAATAGTTTAACTTCTACATGACTCAAAAACATGTGAGTGGATCAGGATGAATTTTTTAAATGGAACACCCTGTATATTATTGCATTTTTGGCTTTTTTCTTTCAGATATCTTTACAGAGTCCTAAAATATTAAAGTTGTTTTTATAACTTTAGAGATATAAAATAAAGGAAAACATATATTTTTTCAGCCTTTTTGAAAAATATATTAAAGTTATATTTTGTCCAGAAATCAAAACTATACTTAATACTAAGTACAATACTTAAATCATACAGTGTGTAGAAAGTTCGATAACAAACTATAAAATAATTATTCTTCGATTTTTTAAATGAATTTTTTCTTATTTTTTTTTATTAGATGCAGAATGAAAATTTAATATTTTTTTTTATTTAAAGTATTTCAAAATTTTTAAGGGTTGCGCAGATATTCGCGGTATTGTTACATATCTCCTTCAACGGTAAAATACCAGAGAAAAATCTTGTCTTTTTTAAAAATTTGCTGTGGAAAATGCCATATGTAATTATAATACCGCAAATATCTGCGAAACCGCTAAAAAATTTGAAATACTTTTTAAAAACAAAAATGTTCATTTCTTAATTCTCCGTCTAATAAAAAAATATACAGGGTGTTCCATTTAAGTAAATGAAGAAAAATTATTTTATATTTTGAACGTCCTTTATGATTTGAGATTACGATATTTATAGCAAAGTAAGTACAGACTATCTATAGTAAATACCAAGTATAGTTTTGATTTCAGGACAGGTTCTTGTATTTTTAATAATTTTTTAAGAAAGGCTAAAAAAATATTTTTTGTTGTTTTTATTTTTTAATATCTCTGAAACAATCAAAACATATTTAATAATATCCTAGGATTAGATTAAAAAAGCCAAAAATGGCAATAATTATAGAGGGTGCTCCATTTAAAAAAAAACTATCCCGATCGACTCATACTTTTTTGAGCTTACTTTAGTACATACTTTAGGTTTGCACTTACAGAACATTCCCAAGTGTTATATTCTAGGAGCTACAGATGCTTTTTTATGTATAACTTGTAAATTTTATGTATAACTTGCAATTTTAATAAACATACCGAATATATTTTTATTTATTATTTTTACCTAAATATACCTCAAATATATCTTCAAAATATTAAAAATATATTATAAAATGCAGTAATAGACCAGGGATTATAATAGAATAAAAAACCACAGCAAAACTATATAACATATTTAAGAAAAAGTAAAATTTATTTATACTAAAAATATTAGTGATGTAAAAATTTTAAGTAATCGTTACAAAGTAACAGTTACTTTACGAGGACTCGAAGTAAGGCTTACTATTTAAATTTAGAACTCGTTACTAAGCTAATTCGTTACTTTTGCGCCGGCAGTAATCGTAATTGCATAATCGTAATTGCATAATTGTAATTGCATTGTAAATGGAAATGCATGAACCGAGGACTCGAAACTCGATACTGAAATATTTCTTACTTCGACGCCGTAGGTCTAGTTGTTATCAATATGTTTATGTTTAAAGTGTTGACTTGACGCCGGCCGGTGTTTTGGGTGGCAAATGTGTGATATTTTTATTACAATTATGATTGGCTCATGCCGACCCGGAGGCGGTCTGTCCCTTTGCCGTTTGTTGTCGCTTTTTATTTATAGAATAGAATTGTTTATTTAGATTAACATGTCTTAGATATTAATTAAAAATGTATTTACGTTAGTCACAAAAAATGTTAACATCTGAAAAAGCAGAGCAAATATTTTTCTTCTTCAAAAGAGAATAGATATTTCGCCACTTGCACTGTAAGAAAATATACAAAATAAAAATAGTAATTTTTAGTAAACACTGCTGCGTTAATCCAAAGGACTTTTTTGAAGAGATGAATCCGCCACAGAGGAATATACATTTTTTTAATATTTTTACATTTTAACAA